GGAAAGAGATTATACTTCCATGCTATTTTGAGCTCAAGAACAAAGACTGCATCACAAAATCTGTCCAAGACAGACATCTGGCCTCAGTACTGAAAGATTTTGAGAGATGTGATATTTGCCACAGTTCTCCACCCGTGGTTCCAGGGCCTAATTGCACTCTCTCTTGACCCTGTGAATCTTATTTCCAGCTTGATTATTTTTTTTTAAAGTACCAGTCCGAGCCCTTGAACCTGGCTACATCTTTCATCCTCAGACTGTAGGGATCCTTAGTGTCAAAGCAAAAAGCTATTAAATAAAATTACCCATCAGGTTAAAGCAAAAGTGCTGATTTAAAATAAAAGATGACATAGTCATAGATGTGTTTCAGTGGGTTCAATAGGCAGAGTAAACCTTCTCCATAGCAGTGACAGTGTGCATGTGAAGAAAGCTGGTCACCTACACTCCAGCTGCCTTAAAAGCCCATCAAACCAGCTGGTGGCTAAATGTCTTCGTTCTTCAACAGCTGTAGCAATTGGGGAGGTTCTGTTTTGGGAGAGAGGTCCCAGGAGAAGGACCTTAATGATGCACTGTGACAACCTTCATGGAAACACCACTGAGCAGAGTCTCTTTCCATGCTGGTGTGCAGAAACAGCTGCAGCACATCTGGGCCTGGCCAAAGGTGCTGGGCATGCACCACTGGGGCACTGCGGTGCCCCTTCTCACAGGGCTGCGTGCCACAGGTCTTGGGCATCGAGTTCCTGAACCAGCCCTGCTTTTGCTGCCACAGGAGGCAGAACAGAGCTGCATGCATCCTTGCTGTCACCTGTGAGACCCTGGTGCTGTGATGTTTGGCTGCATGTAGTTGGGTTGATGTCTGCCCCAGGCAGGGTACCAAGACCAAGGACAAGACTAGGGGCATGCTGCCTGCATACCAAGCTGACTGCCTTTAAACTCTCTGCTTTCACCTGCTGTAGTTGAGGTTTGTCCCTCTGGACAATATCCCAAATAGGCTTATGGAGCAAAGATAAAGAAATAGGTGTAAATGTCTTCCACTTTGTTCAGGGTGTCAGTTTTCTGTAGGGAACACAACCACCATGCTGTAGGGGTTCAGATGATAAGCAGGTTGAAAAGACATTTCATGAAGGTGACCACTGTGGGTTGCTGTCCGCAAATCGATTTAATTTCCTGACTGAGCTATAACCTGTGCCAGCAAAGATCTGGAGTGCTCATGCAAGTTATAAAGCTTCCTAAAGCAACAGGAAAAAATGACACTGGGTTTAAGCAGAGCTGCCTCCTGCTCAGATCTTGTTCCCACTGACGTAGTGACCAAGGTACATGTCAACACTTAGAAAAGAAATTCACCACTGTTGTAGAAACTGAGCTCCCATGTGCCAAGGCATGTCCCTGGGCTGTTTCTGTTTATTCCTGAGACAACGAGCTGCCTTCAGGAAGCAGAGATAGGGTTTGTGCATGTAACACCTACAGTCCTTCCGCACAAGGGGATTTGGTACCCAAAGCTGAGTTGCCTTTTGAAGTCTCACCATCAGTTGCACCAAAGAAGTCAGGGCTGGCTCCTGCTAAGCCTGTATTGGGCTGTCCTGTGCACTGATAAAGACCAAGGTCTGACAGGAACACAGCCCACCTCATCTGGAGCTGGTGCTGTACGGTTCAAGTGTGCCAGTGGACAGATTTTGACCAAAAAAAAAAAAAAAGCTGATGGTTCAGCTCACGGTGATGTCATTTTGATTCTGAAGACTGCTAATCTTCAGTTTGCTTATCCCTGCATTTCTGAGCTGTCAAGGCTGAGGACTACACTGGAGAGCAGCTGAGTGGAAACACAGTAAGAGCCTTTTACATGGTCTGTGAAATCAGAACTGCTTCCTCCCTGCCTCTGCCCACTTTCATGTTACTGAATGGAGTCACAGCCTCTTCTGCACAGTGCCTCAAAGGTAATGAGCCAAGTCCTCCTCCTGGCTCACTGTTGACTTGCTGGGAGTTACAGTAGGATGAATCAGTCCAAGTAAATCAGAGCACTTCTGGGCGAGGTGTGGTGGTGCCATTTGGTCTATCAGGTGCTTGCTATCCTAGGAAACACACACCACCAAGACAGGCCAAAACATCTTGTGAGCGGAGTTAATTGTCGAGGGAAGGGGGAACAATACATGACAATTTTAAAATGTAACATGCTCGTTATTTTTTATATCCAAAAAATCTTCCCTTCTTTTTATTGCTTTGGTTCATATCAGTGTTTTCTTTGTTCTCCTTTCCATTTAGGAGCTCCAAACTCTCATGTTCAGCATGTATTTGAATAGATCTATCTACCAAAGATTTTTGGTCAGGTTTCTTCTTTGTGTTTTGTGGATTTATCTGTACCATGAACAAAACCAGCGTAACTGATCACATTTTGTGCTATATGTTGTTATTTAACTTCTAATATATTCCAAATAAATTATTTAAGAAACTAATCGTTGTCTTTTTAAACTTCTCAAAAATTTCATTTCACATTTGCATACCACTTGGTAGAGGATACCAAAAACATTACAATGTAATTTTCCAGTAGAGACTCATACTACTGTTCAGCACTTACACAAGAGCCTTGATGTTAGAAACATTATCAGATGATAAGGAATGACAGGAATTCTTTGTTTATTACAATTTCTTAAATTGTATTTCAGTCTACACGCTAAAAAGATTTTCACCAGCTCTTGAAAAAAGACAAATAAATAAAATTTAATTGGGCAACACCGTTGTGTTTGTCTTCCAAATATTCACAATTCAAAATATTTTAACCAACTCCATTGTAAAAAACAGAAATCACCTTAAATAATTAATTTGGGCTCTGATTTGAGTCTATTGTTATCTGGAGATATTCAGATAGGCACAACCTACTGATTTGGACTGGAGTCCAGGTTCAGATATAAAAACTCATCCAAAGTTGACAGGAGCTTAGGATGTACAGCTGCTCTTTCTGGCTAACAGCTGGTGGGAACAACCTAATCCCCTGTTGAATATGACGCTGGGAGAAGGAGAGAAAGCACTAGGATGACAGATGCAGAAGTTGTGAGGAAAAGATGGGAAATCACTCAGACAGAGGGCCAATTTTGGTTTCCTTCTTAACTGGATGTCTCACAGCCCTGGAACTGCTTTGTGATACACAAAGTGGAAGATTTCTGCACAGCATGTGCCTGCGAAAGTTATTGTCTCAAGAGATTAAATATATTTCATACATCTATCTATCTATATATCTATCTATATATCTCTATCTCTATCTCTATACCTATATATCTATATCTATATACCTCTATCTCTATCTCTATCTCTATCTCTATCTCTATCTCTATCTCTATCTCTGTCTCTATCTCTATCTCTATCTCTGTCTGTCTGTCTATCTATCTATCTATCTATCTATCTATCTATCTATCTATCTATATCTGTTGCAGCAGTGGCAAAACCTTAGTGTAAATGACAAAAATGTTCCTACTCTTAAGACCCCTACTGAGTTTCCTAGCTGAAACTAGCAGTGCTAATTAAGTTGTGTGAATAGCACTTTTTATTCCTTTTGTATTTTTTTTCTGAGGATATGGCTGTCAATATTGCAAGGAAGACCAGCTAAGCTGGTATCTTCTAGAAGCATCTTTGGTATCTCCTGATACAAAAAGGCATGATGCACAATTAAAAGAGTCATGGCTCCCTCTAATCCATGGGACTCCTAACCTGCACAGAGGGTATCAGGTGCTCTCCCATGGCTTCATATTGCAGAAATCCCAGTGAAGCATTCTTTTACTTGGAATTTCTACCAGGATCAAAGGAATACTACAGCTCTACATTTCAGGTCAAATGAGGATTACTTTTTTCAGACGCTGGGTGCTAGGAGACAAGTGTCACTCTTCAGCTATTGCAGAACCTAATAGGACTCATGCCAGGAGAGGTACAATGTACACTGTCCTTAAAAGTAACCCACACATCACCAGTCTGCTGTGCAGACTGCTGCTTATCACGTCCACTTTCTCAGTATCTCCTTTGTGGGTATGAAGTGTAATCAAAGTTGGATTTTTGGGTTGAGTGAGGAAAGAAATACGTTGCAACTGTGTCTCGCAAGGATGTTATAGTCTTGTACATGAATCCTAGTGACGGCCAGCCTGTGGTTAGAAGAAGAGCAGGTCTGTAATCAGGGTTTTGGCCTGAGATTCAGTAGATTCAAACCCTTGCTGATGTGAGCACATTGCACCTAGCACTGGACTTACAGGATTCCTTACTGGAGACTTACAGGATTCCTGAGCCAGCAATATTAAATGGAAAAACAGAGTTGTTCTAGGACACTAAGATCAATCCTAACATCTTGCTCTAAGCAAGTTGCATGACTAATGTGTTTCAGAGGCATACAAAACCATTTAGGAACTGGTTCCCACAAATTTCTTTGCTGCTAGGGAATGATATGCAGTGACCATGGCTAAAGTAGGGTGAGCAAGGCAGATCTGACTTTTGTTCTTTGAAGGCTGGTGATGAAAGGAGCTGGAGAGAATGGGAGACTTAACTACTGACCTGCAGGGCAGGGGTCACTTGGAAGCCAGTCTTAAATCTAAAGGTCATCAACAAAGTGACAGAGTCTAAATCCATCACTTCCCAGGATTGTAATTGTATTTTTAATATAGCAGATGCTGAGAGAATCATAAGGGACACGGTGGGCAGAAGAAGCAGCTCAAACAAATATTTGGGTT